CTCTCTCTCGCTCTCTCTCGCTCTCTCTCGCTGTCTCTCTCTCCACCTCTCTCTTTCTCTCCCCGATATCCTCGCTGCGTTCGACTCTAGCGTTAAAGGATAGTCAGAAAGATTCCAGGTCACGTCCATCTTCTACTGATTATTACCCATCATCCATCCATCTGTACAGATTACTCGTAGACCTGTAATCTGTATAGAGAGAAAAACGACAAATCTCTTGATAGAGATGACAGGTTTCTTCTCTCACCTGACGTATACTCGTACGTGTATGCAAGAACTGTCCCTCCTCCCTCTCTCTTTTCCTTCCTCTTCTACCTCGTATCCTCCAATTTCATCCGTGTTGGCGCGGGGGGGGGGGGGGGGGGGGGGGGGGGGGGGTGGGTTGAAGGGGGGGGGGGGGGGGGGGGGGGGGTTTGTGGCTCGAGTCTAGAGGCTTCTCTCTCTCCAAAGTCTCTATCATCCATCACGATTACACCGTCGAGAGTTAAAAAGAAAGTTGAGGGTCAAAAGGGGAAGAGAATAATACAAAATATTATTTAAAAAAAAAAGTAAAAATAAATGAAAAAAAAAGGTAGAGACGGATGAGCAAGAGAGGAATGGAAAACGGTGTAAAAATGGCAGGAACGGTTGTTGCACTACATAATAACTCCTTCTTCTTTTATAATATTATATAATCTGTGTGTATAAATTTATATAAAAGTATGTATATTTATAAATATAAAATATATATATACATATAAATATACGGCAGAATAAAATACCACATAAGCAGCGAGCGGTATGGTGATGCCCGACGCGGTCAATCACCAGTCATAATCGGTAGATGAAGTTGCCCCCCCCCAATTCATCGTCCACTATCAATACATATTACTCGATTACTCGATGCTTCAGAACCACAATAACCAAGGCCACAGATGGCATGGACTGTTAATAGCTTAGTTGACACACGTCATTTCCAGCCTCGCTTTTCTTTCTCTCTCTCTCTCTCTCTCGCTCTCTCTCGCTCTCTCTCGCT